CGCTTGAAGAAGCTCTTCCGCGCGTTCTCCTCGATGTTGGTTCGTGAATTTTCTTCGCAACACAGCCTTGAGTTGCTCCCAGGAGGTGATCGATGCTTCGTGGTTCTCGACCCAGTTCCTGGCTGTTGTTTCCAAGGCGAAGTAAGCATTCTGGAGACATTGTTCCGGTGTCCACCCGTTATGACGGGCCACTCGTTCGTACTGTTGGACCCAGTCGTCGATGTCTTCGTGGCTTTCGCCGTGGAAGGGAGCCGGTGTCCGAGGAGCGACGGGCAGGTAGACGACGGCAGAAGCGGCGGGGGTCTGTGGCTGGTTGGCCATCGCCGTCTTCTTCGGCTTGGGCTTGTCCGGCAGCGAACCCAATTCAAGAGACTGGCCTCTAATACGGGGCTCAGCTCCCGGATGTAGCCTTCCGGGGCTGAGCACGTAGCTAGGCCGGGATGTCTTTGGAGAGGTACGCTCCCCGGGCATAGAACCTCCACCAAAATGTCACGACTGGCGATGTGACAAACAAGGAATAACTGAAGAAACTGAAACGTTTAATGGGGCGAACTTTCGCCCACAATAAAAAGCAAACAGAAGATAACAGCAAAGCGTCGCGCGTGTCGAAGTTGACGTGAAAGCAGAGTCGAACGCTGGGCGAGACCGACTGCAGATCGCTACTGGGAGCCCCTTATGTACGCGCGTTGGCTTCTGGAACGATCGGCCTAGAACGTTCGGCGACTAGAACATTCGGAACTCGAACAGTCGGGAATGCTCTCGAACTCACGAGAACGTAATGCTCAAAATATAAATACAAGGACATTCCACTGACTGGAATCCAACCTAGATTTTCCGCGCGACAGTGAAGCGCGGTAACCACTCGGCCACGCACGCGGTCGAGCGCCGACGCGCGTGGCAATATTCGGTGTGCCTGGGTTGACTGAAGTGACGTAATCTGAGCGAGAACAGCCATAGAGTGCGAAGGACGATCAATCTGAGAAGGCACTTCAGGACAAACAACCTCATACAAAAAGTGTACAAAAGAGTTGGGGGGGGGGGGGGGGGGGGGGGGGTCCGATTATCTAGGCAGCAGCGAGTTGCACGTCTGGCCCCTTTTCGCCTGGGAAAGAAAAGTCCAACGACGCACGAAACAAGGGACAATGACATTTCCCCTTCCTAGAAGGGAACATTAAAACTACGATGATTACTAAGAGGACATCATTAACATTACTTATCTCGAAATATGACGACATTAACTTTGAGGTTAAAGAGGAAGAAAAAAAAACTGAGCGTAAGTTGTTTTTTAATCGTTTTTATCATGGGCAGTGATAGCTCTTCCGCGTCACATTAGCTCTTTCTTTTCTGCATCAGATAGAAACAGCCACGTGCTAACTCTCACAGACCGGCTCGCGAGGGGTAGAGGAGAAAGAATACCAGCGTGAAATATTCCAAATGTTAGCGCATACGTCTCGCACAACAGTCGAATGGAAGACACTGGGGTGCGGTGCGCAGTCGTTCGAGCAGTCTGTTGACGTGAACGCGACCACAGCTGCAGCAGCTTCTTCACGGTAAGTGAGCTTTCGGACCCTTGTTTTTTTTTTATTATTCGCTGATAAAAATACAGACGTAGTGCATGATTGTAGAACTAACCACATCAGATAAGCGTGAAGGTAGAGCGTTCTCCGATCTTGTACGTAAAGCGCGAAATGCGTCGTATCTCGCGTAAACGCTATCCTGCTGGCAGCCGAAGAACTGCAACATCACGTTGCGGTCAATAGCGACGACCATGCAGGAGAAGCCGCTTGCTCAACGACGGAGTATCGGCTGGATCGGGGGACCCCGCATCAACTTTGCCTGTCGGGGGATTAACGCTTTTCGCCGCTCTTTCGCACTAGATTGACTGCCAAAATTATCAGCTATTCGGTGGCTCTTTTATTAGGAACGTGATGTCTACTCATGGAGTCACTAATGACTAATGGTTTCAGCAGTCGACTATCCGCGTTTGTAAATAAAAACAAAATAGCGATACGTTTTGATTGGTGCAGCGTTCTGCAGAATAAGCAAGTAAGTTGATCAAGATAAGCACTATGCTAACTAGATTTGTTCTAAACGTCGAGAGCTTTAGGTAAAAAATCGTCCCCCAATCAGCGGCAGAGTAGGAGCTTTCAAACCCTTCTGTGACGGTAATTGGAAGCGGCTTTTTGAAGTAGCTCACGTAAAGGGGCTGTGCAACACGTCTTTTTTGTTCATTCACTCCATACCGACTGAGATTAGACCTCGATGCTCACATGATACAAAATACGCATTCTTGTTTCTCGCTACGCAATGGCTTTTTTTTTTTTTTGTACCACGTTACGCTCGTGAACAATATGAAGAAGCCCAGGCGAGCATATGGCTCTGAAGAACTCCGCTTCTATCTAATGGAAGAATGCTGAGAATGCTGAGGCTACTGTGTGAACAAGCGGCATTTAACCTGCTTTTCGATTTTTCTTGTTACCTCCACTTGATCGGCAAACTATTCACGATTCACCACCGACAGCAAAAATTCGAGGTAAAAAAAGAAAAAAGAAACGCGTGTGACCAGTTATTCTTTAAATTCATTATCAAACACCCGAAAATTCGTCGCTCAAACTGCCTGCCCGGTGGTTTCAGCCATAGAGTTATTATAATAAACGCTAGAGGCTCAGCTGGCGCTAGTGTCTACGGGACTTCCGGTTGTAAATTGAAGCAGACAGCTTGCAGTCTACTTTGCCAGTCTTCCTGTGCACTCCTATGGGAAAACGCGCGTGAATTTCGTCTCGTCGCCGGAAAATGACATGAATAACTTTTGTTATTTCGCTTGTATCGGATAGTATGTACCTTTAGTAATATTGTGAAAGTGTAAGTGCTTTAGTTACAGCATTTTTTCTTTACCACTGAACGATGTTAAACTTAGCTATATTTCAGGCCCAAACCTCTGTTCCAGGGCAGGTGTGTAAAAACGAGCGACGGTTCTAAGCAAAATAATGATCGAAAGAAATGTAGAGTGTGTTCAAAGTTCGCCAGCATTCCGTTGGTGCATATATATTGCTTATATGCCTGTCCTCTCACTATATGAAAATAACTCCGTCGTGCATCTTTACGAGTGGTTAAAAAAACGTTCGAAACGTAAAGAATAAAGTACGTGGGCTACGAAAGGTGTGTTTTGTTATTATTTCCTATGTTGGGCAATTTTTATCGCGCACCTGTTCTTTGCCTTCCCTCTTTTTGCAAAGATTTGGAGCGTGCGGGTGACAATTTGAACACAGAACAAGCATCTTTGCACGTATTCACGAGCAGAAAGAATAAATCCGTACTTATTTATTGCAAATCGGACTATATTACGTGACTTTTAATTTATTGTGATTGTCTGCAAGCACAGTTACTTATCCAGTGTTAACGCGTAGTACTTGCCGTCTCTCTTCGTTTTCCATATGTCCTTCGTTCGTTTGGCCCGTATATCCCCCATGCTAGAAAGCGCCGACGCCGTGTTAGCGCTAACAGTGTCCGACAGTGCACATAAATACATGTACGAAGCGGTTTTAGCACCGTTTTTCATGCCACGATTTTAAAAATAAAAACGCCGTAACTGACCAATTGTTTCATTTTCGTGTCTGGGAAATGTTCCAATGTGTCTAGAATGTACGATTTATTCGTGATATTTGCTCTTATAATCGAGCGCAGAGAGGAAATGCACTCGCTTTTTTTCCGTAGAAATGCATTACCTGAAGTCAATTTCGGACTGTTTGCTGTCTGCTTCAATTTGCAACAGCACACCTGCGCCAGTTGAACCTCTAGCGTAGATTATAATAACGATATGTTTTCAGCCACGCATGATTTTGCCTTCTGTTGCGAATCGATTCTACATTCTGCGCTGAAATCAGCATTAAATGAGCAACACCTTGTCAAACGGACTGTGATGACCAGTAGTGAACAACCGCTGAAATTTCTATAATTGTTTAGATTCCTTCTAATAGGTAGGGCGGCAGCCTTCCAACCCACGCGCCTGCCGGTTTTTTTTTTTTTTCTTCTTTTTGTTTTGCTTTTTTTTGTTGTACAGAGCGCGACACTGTTAGCGCGAACAAGCGATCGCCGGTTTTTCCAGTTTTTCTTTTTGAAACCAAGGGGTGTCATCCAAGTTATTTTTTCTAAGGAAAGAGCTAATTTAGTTCTGTAATGTAAGCGATAAAATTTCGTGCTCGCTAATACTGTTTAGAAGTAAAATGCGAAAATGCGCCGATCTCGTGTTCGCGCTAACAGTGTCGCGATGTGTACGTTTTATAATCTGCTAATTAAGAGGAAATTGAAAATCTTCAAAACCCTTTGATCAGCACATACCATGATTGGTATTTGGGTAATCGTTTTTACCATAAACACTTTCATCTGCTCCAAGCATTTCGATGTACATCTTTGTTTTTATTTTTTTTATTTTTGTGAACAATCGCATTCGTACTTGATTATAATATATTTACGTAATATATCTTATCACAAGCTTATTGTGTGCTACTAACAGCAAGCGGCGTTTCCAATGTTAATTTGATACTATTTAATAAGTCATAAGTCTTATCTGTGCAATATATATATATATATATATATATATATATATATATATATATATATAATATTCTTCTGTCGGTCTTGATGTATCTAACAGATACAGCTTTACTCCGACTGTTAACTATTTATATAAACGTCTACCAAAAGAACGGCTTTGCTGTTTTTGACACATAAAACATAAATAATAAAAGAATTAATCAATTACTTTTTGCTTTATAATCTTTAATTCCTCTACAAGGAAGACGGAGATAACAGATATATTTTTCAGAGACGAGACATGTATTTGTTTCCGTAAGAAAAAGTTTTCGCTCTTTCAATGCCATCCATTTTTTTCTTTCTTTCGCTGCTAAAGCAGAGCAGAAACACTGCTGCAGGACAATAACCTTTTCTTTCTTCCTGCAGGTGACACAACCCATTCTGTGTGACAACCAAGTTAGAGCTTCATGATTAACGTCAACATGAATCCAATCACATTTCTGAACGAGATACACAAAAGAGGGGATCCAAGGACAAGGGACTACCCTCTGGTCGTCAACCCCTTCTTCGTCTTCCCCCTGATTCTAGGCTACCTGTACTTCGTCAAGGTGGCCGGTCCACGATGGATGAAGAACAGGGAACCCTTCGAGATCACAAACATCGTCCGCTTTTACAACCTCTGCATGGTCGCTGTCAACGCCAGGTTTCTCTACGTCCTTCTGAAAATGACCTACCTTCCAGGAGGACGGTACAGCCTCTGGTGTCAGGGAATAACAGGATATATGGACGAAGAGTTAACAAAGTACTACAAAAACGGATGGTTTTTCGTCGCGGTCCGGTACGTTGACTTCCTGGATACCGTTTTCTTCGTCCTCCGCAAGAAGTTCAGACAAATCACGCACTTGCACGTCATCCACCACACCATCGTGGCGGCAAACGTCTGGTTCTTTGCCTTGTTCGTTCCAGAAGGACACCCCGCTTTTGCACTGGCCATTAACGTGTTTGTGCATATCATCATGTACTCTTACTACTTCCTCGCTACCTTGGGTCCCGGAGTGCAGAAGTACCTCTGGTGGAAGAAGTACCTCACCACGTTGCAGATCACTCAATTTGTTCTTACCATACTCCACATGTCTATCCCTTTGTTCGTTAACTGTGGGTTCCCCAGACACCTTATCCTCCTTGGAAACGCGCAGACGTTCCTGATATTGTGTTTATTTGTTAACTTTTATATACACGCGTACAATCGAAAGAGTCCTTCAAAACGCGTTAAAAGTAGCACCGCGGAAAATCTTCAGCAGAATGGTGCAAACAAAAAGAACGCTTAGCATTTTGATAAAAATTAAAAATGAACAATTTGAGCGAGTACGAAGGAAAGACATTGCTAGCCTTTGGGCTGATTACCTCCGGCAGTTGTGTTATTTCTGCTCAGAAATTGTGCACTTAGAAAAAAATCAACAGCTTAATTTAAGGACCGAAAAAGGGTGAGTGCTGAGTCACCACATGTCGCAGGTCACATGCACATAAGCACTGGAATATCAATGATCACAGAAGACAATGTTGCCGCTCGGTGCTGTCGTGTCCCAACAACTTCATATGAGTATTTTGAAATAACGGGAGGTTTGCGCTCGCCTTGGTGAGCGGGCTCACAGAGATGCAGATAGGAATGACGGGCGACAATTCCTTGCACGAGGAATGCAATGTGAGCGTGCGTGCGGCTTACTCGCACACTCTAAGAAAAACAGGGTGTAGTCGGGTGCATCAGGCGCACATGCACCCTTTTCCTGAGAGATGCACCCTCCGTTATCCAGCCAGTGTACTCGTACACCGACAATAAGCATCCTCCTCCCCCTTGAAAACCTCTAGGTGTATCAGTGCACCGCCGTGCTAGCCACGCGCCCCGATCAGCTTGTGCTTGGATTCCCCCTTGCGGGTCACAGTTTGGGTTGGGCACTCTCTTGAGAAGTATGGAGCTATCCTGTTCACTCGGTATTGAGAGTAAAGTGGACGCTATGCTTGTTTTAGGCCAATCGGGTCTCCGGGTAGGACAACGTGACTACAGTCTCCAAGTTAGAGATAAGGCAGAGCACGGCACCCACCTGAAGGCCAAGGCCACGGATTGCATTCACTGCACTATTAACTTTGGGTCAAACTTTCAAGAAGAAGAAATGGGCGCCCCCCTTTTGGCCTTGAAGGGGCTGCTATTTTTCTACTCCGCTCTTTTTCTTTCTCTCCCTAAGTTGAAAGCGTGGATGAAGGTGCACAATCGCCGGACCAATGAACCGGAGGCTTTTTCATCCCTCGACTCCGCTGTCTGGGCGCGGGTAATGGCAAGAGCGTGATCATGTGGTAAAGGTTTCACGAATGACGTGGTATTTTTTCCGAACTCAGAATGTCTGCTTCCCAGCCTAGTTTCTTGTGTGCTGTGCTGCGACCAGCGGGGCTGCCGTAGATTTCGTCCGCGACAACGTATTCGAGTGGACCAAGATTTGCAGTGTTTGAATATCCTACGCGCATGTCGGCAACAAGCGATTTTTTCAAAAAAACCCAAGGACCCCTTTCTTTTCGTTTTTGTGTGGTTCTTCAGTGCCCGTGTCGACATATATATCGGATTACATATTTCAAGTCCGGTATTTTCATCATAAGTGCACTGCAACCTACTCCTTTGCAACAATTGACCGTTCCGCTTCGGATTACCTCTAGAATTAGGCAGTGACTATTTTCTACCAGCCGAGGGAATAATTTCCCCGAAATTCTGTCGGCAGTCGCCTGCCATTAGCTGTCTACAATCATGTGACTACTGCAGGTAGAATACTGACCTATTCTCCCGGTGTTTTGTGAAATCACGTTTTCGTTGATACATGTTTTGTAGACAAGTTTCATCGACACTAACGTTGTATCGTCACTCGTTACGCGAAATGAACGCTGTAGGGACATTTTGTCGCGCGTGTATCTCTCAGGCGCGTGCTCAACGACCCAGCCCATCCGTTCACGCAGCTTCGTTGCGACAGTCTGCGGCGGCTCATTGCAAAAATATTAACCCACCGGTCCCACCCCTACACGTCACTTCACGGGTACACTCTGGGGCGGCTCATTACAAGGGAAAAAAATAAGGTAATATAGGAAAGCTAGTCTGAGCTGTCGATGATACGTCGTTCGATGAATCAATGGCGACTGCCGGTGGAATTTTGTGGAAATAATTCTGCCGGCTGCTGGGAGAATAAACAGTACCTATGACTCATCCCCGGTTCTTGTTTGCTTAGTAATATTCTCAGTTGTGTAACAGCTTTTTCGTACCTCTTCGCATATCATGGATTGCTTGCAAGTTGTACTTCTTTACGGAATTGGCTGCCTAATAAACTTCTATGAGATTTGAAAACAGTCCCGTGTGTCCGTTTACCTGCCTTTTTGCAATCACCGGGGCGCATACATTTTTTTAAGCTTAATGTCTTAAATAGGTTTATGAAGTTAGTTTTTAAAGCGGGTGTATAAAGTGGTGTGACCATGCACATTTGGATCGAGTGCATCTCTGCTCTTTTCGAATTCAGTGCGTGTAGAAAGCGGTGTAGCAGTACACGATTGAACGGGGTGCTCCTGTGTTCCCTTTGAGAGCAGTAGGTGTAGTAAGGGGAGTGATGGTGCGGGGTGCACCTGTGTTCCCTTTGAATGAGGTGGGCGTATGAAGCGGTGCAATGGTACACCTTCGAATGGGGTGCCTCTGTGTTCCCTTTTATTTCATTGGGTGTAGAAAAAAGTGTAGCCGCACACCACTGAATGGGGTGCACCTGTGTTCCCTTCGAGTGACATTTCTGTAGAAAAAGGTGTACATGTGCACCAAACAAACGGATGTACACATACTCCCACATTTGAGGTGTACAAGCATTCCCCCAAAAGGGTGGAGTATATGTGACAAGCACTTACACCCCCTCTGGGTGTACCCCATGACACCCTTTTTGTTTTAGAGTGCAGGGGATCAAAACGTGTAATTTTAATGCGCGAACCGATGGCATAAATCGTAAACCACCCTTCAAATCGGATAGGTCCTTCCTTCTCTGTTGGAACAGCTCAGTTCAGGCCGCCATGCAAGTCTTGTTTCATTTCATCGAAGCATTCTTATACGAAGATAACCTGAAGGAGAGAAGACGATAGCATGCGGCGACGTCAGAGCCGCAAGCTCTGATTGGAAGGAGTGGGTCGGTTCAAAGGCTAGCCACATCTGTCTCTAGCCGCTGTCTCCCTCCAAAAGAAGCAAACAGAGGCGTCGTCCGCTTATCGCGCAGTGTCCCGAATTCGAATGCCAGACCCTGCGCGAATAGAAGACGAGAATCCTGCGTTCGCTCCGAATAGTGGATGACAATTGAGTAGAGAGGCAAAGGCTGCTATTTTTTGCGCCAACCTACTATTCTTTCAATTAAAGCTGGGCTCTGTGACGTCGTTGAGCGCTTCCATCTCCTCCTCTCTTTTTGATTTTCTTTTGTTAACGCTAATTTAATTTTTACAAGATCACAGCCTAGGTTGAAATCTTGACAGCCCAGCACTTTCATCTTTGTCGCTTCGGAAAGCGAGCAAGGTACGTGTCATGCGCTCTAATGCTGAAAATGGCACTGGTCAGGAGATGGAGTGATATCGTTTCAGACTTTGCAACGTTGTCAAAGTAACTGGCACTAGCGCGTGGTTTCATATTGTGTCTATTTGTACAATAACATATGCAAATAAAGCGCTCTGTCGAGGCTCGTGCTGGTGCCAGCAGTTTCGTCTACGTTTTGACCTAAGCATGAAACGAAGTATGTGTAGACTTCCGATCTCCACCGAAATGCACATGAGAGTCACCGTGCGATAGGAGCAGCGTCAAATGGCGAGTCTCCGCCATTTTTTTGTTTACAGATACTATATAAAATAGCCATATCATCGTTGTCTCCTTCTGCATCGGGAAAGGCGGTGAAGCCGAGCTAGTATATACCGAATTGAAAAGAGCGAAGAACCAGTATTTCATCAAATACCTCCAGAGTCTTATGGCTGTCACAGGGGAAGCACGTCATATCCGTATCACACTGGCCTGCCTTCCGCGCATCGTCCTCCTATTATACCTTCTTCGACAGACTCACCGATTGGGTGCAGACACTGCAAACCCGGCTAAACCGACACACGCGCACCCTTACTACCACTCCAGATGCACCGGATATAGACACCCGCGCACTCTATCTGTGGGAAGCATGTCGTAGCCTAACACAACGGTGGCGACGTCAACGCCACAACAAGAAGCTAAAACTACGCATTGCCCAACTTACTGTTGATGCTGCAGTCTATGCTGGCAACCTCACTGGTGAAAACTGGCACGCGCTATGTGACAAGCTCAATGGCACGCTCGGTGCCGCACGAACGTGGTCCCTACTCCGTCATCCAGTGGCGGTCCCAGACATTGGTTTTAGGGGGGGGGGCGAAATTGCTGCTTAAATAACAAAAACAGAGGCATCACACTTTTTTGTGAATAAAGATTTTTTTTTATTAGTCCCACTGTTTGCAAGTCGGAAATGCGCAACATGTAAACCTGCGTTCGCAATATAGCTTTAGCGCTGAATACATTCGACACGTGCACAATCGTACAACATTACATATACTTTTTTTTATTTATTCACAAATGTTACTACCTTCCATTGAAAAGTGTCGTAGGACTGGGGTTTTATAAAAAATATAAAAAGTGCAGTGAAAGGTTTTTAATGAAAATGAGCAATAATTGAAGTAATAAAGTAATTTTCAAAACCTCATTCACACTTGGCAAACTGTACACGTCATGAGAAGAAACCAAGTCAGTGAACGATTCAGAATAATGCAAACGGAGAAACTTGTCAAGCAAAATATCGACAGTTGGAAAGACCACGCACGATCAAAGGGCCTTAGCTAACGGCCAAGGGTCTATTTACACCATATTCATTTTGGCGAACTTAGATTTCAGAGAGCACACACGCTTCAGTGAGTCTGCTCTTTTTAAAGGGGTCTCCTTCCCTACGTCCCTATGTGAAGACATCGTCCGAGCTCACAGATCCTCCAATCAAGACCGACTGTGCTCTCTTTTTGCTTGGCTGTAAAATAAAAAAGTTATAAAAAACGATCGATTTGGGGGGGGGGGGGAGGGCGGTCGCTTCCTTCGCCACCCCCCCCCCCCCCCTTTAGGACCGCCACTGCCGTCATCTCATACGGCGTGGTCAAGCCAAATCGCATAGGGCCAAGGGCGTTCATAAACTTCTACGCGCCACTGACCTAACAGACACCCAATGCCTCGCACAGCTACGACAACATTACCTTCTTCTTCCTGACGCTCCACGTTACG